TTAATAGGCTCTGCCATCTGCAGCATCAAGACAAGACTTAAGACCTTTAATGGAAAGGAACTTTAATACAATGGGTGTGCAATATAGAAAAGATAAAGAATATAGTTTTTAAATCAAACGCCCAAAGTTAGCCATCCCTTTGTGGGTAAAAGTCTACCCAAAAGGGATGGGCCCAAAGCAAGTCCTGAAAGCCTGTCACAAGCCTAAAGCAGCTTCCAGCTGGCACCCATGAAAAAGGGTCAGAAATGGCCAGACAAGTCTGGGAGGAAAAGAACACAATCAAAATCAAGATAAACACTGCCATAACCAACCTCCTCCACACGAGTCTCTCATCTTCATCTGTTTCAACTAGTCCAGGGCCAAGAAACAAGAGCCGCTTCTTCACATGTCTCTCTGCTCCATGTGGCTCCCTTAGGTCACCTTTTGGCCTCCATCCTGCATCCTTCTTTCTGAGATCCTCTTTCCTCTCTTCACTGCTCAGCTCCACCCTCCTTCTGTGTGGGGCAGGGAACCTGGAATCTCCCCTTTTCCAGGGTTCACCCTGTTACAATAGGTATTATTATCTGTCATTCATAAGTTAAAACTTGAGAGACAAGAGTGGGGGGGGGAGAAATTAGGTTTAATTGCATGCTGGCAAACCCGAGGACATGGAGGATTACTGTCCCCAACCTAGAGGGAAAGCAGGGATTTATATTGGGAGTACTAAGGATGGGGAGAGGTTAAAGGGTTTGTAATGGGCAGGATTTCTTTTGATATATACGCAAGAACTGGGGTGTAGGCCAGAGGTAAAGGGGCGAGAGGATTCACCAGAGAAAGAATGGGGAGCAGAACAGGCAGATTTATTGAAATATACTGCTGAGGGGAGCAGCAGGGCAGTGAGACAGGAAAGGTCAACTTCTTCACCATGTGGGTCAGCTCCCAGTCTGGGGATGCGAGCCAGCAAGCTGCAGTGACTTAATCCCTTCATCACCAGGGAGGCTCTGCATTAGCAGGATTTTAGAGAAATAGCTGAAATTTTTAGGAACTGCATTTATATTCCCTTTTCTACCAAATTTGTCTTTGAATGGATTTGTTATAGCCTGGGGTGGTGGGGGTGCTTATTATTATGATAATGAGGTTGTGGCTTAACCCTTAATTTAGTTCTGCCTCCATCTTGGTTTTAGCTTGACTATTTTGGCTTTGTCTGCAAGATAAACAGAACCAGAGCGAGGATAAACAGGGTAAGGACAAGGAATTCACTGTTGCCAGGCTGGTGACTTGGTGACAACTCTCGCTTTGTGTTTCAGGAGGGACTCAGCAGGGCAAATTTCTGCCAGGCAGGTGGTCTCCTGACATTCTTGATCCACCTGACACCAGTCATGCTCCCTCCTTAAGTCCAACTTTCCCTGTCTCTTGGGATCCTGTCCAGAGATCAGGGCTCAGCTCCTGCTCAGAGCAGACCTCCAACCCTTCATGCCCCTGCACCTGGCTCCCTCCCGCAAGCTCTCCTGGCACACCTCACCCCACTGGCTCACCTTGCCACCTTGGCAAGGTGCAGGGTGAAGAAGACTGGGTAATTAAGCAGTGATGGTGGGCTGAGGCTTTGGGCACAACTCACACACCTCCCCACCCCCCAACCAGCTTTGTGGGTCTATTTGCAACGACTTCACCTCTTGGCCCAGTGTTATGTATTGATACAATAATCTCCACGGATGGAGAGGTGGGGGTGATGGAGATGGAGTGACTTATCAATTAAAAAGCAACCACCTGTTCGCAAAAACAGTGATAAGCAGGCAAAGGAGAGGCAAGGAGAGATAAAAGCCTGGCTGTGCTGAGAAGCCAAGCCCAAATTAAAATTAATACTCTTCTGAAAGCAGTATAAATATAGGTGCCCCATGGAGTCGATCTCAGGCCTTTGGACTCCACGCCCTGAGGTCTCTGAAGCCTTCTGCAGGTTTGGCATCTGCTGCAGCTGGCACTGCCTGGAGAAGCAGTACTCCCCTCCCTGGCCAGCTGATGCCTCCAGGGAGCTCCTGACCCCTCACCTGGTACCTTTCCTGCTGGTTTCTGATCCTCTTCTTAGTGGCTTCATCCCTTCTCCCCTCTATAGTCTATCGAACTGTAAGCTCCTGTTGGGATGTTAAGTCAGGTCCCCATAAAATCACAAAGTGATTACAAGTTTGATTCATAAAAGAAGCCTCTCCACTCAGGTGGAAGTTTTGAGAACCAAACTCCTTTATTACTCCCAGTCCTCCCCATGCAAACTCCAAAGACCCCTCCCGTCCAGGAACCCCAGTCTCCTCCAGAAGCCTCTTCACACCCCAGCTCTCCCTACTCTGACTCTCCTGCTTAATGGCACTTCCTCTGCACTCTTGTAGTTACCTCCTGCCCAGAGGAGGGGTTCTGCCTATGCCCACCACTGCCTTCCCAGGGAGCCTTCTTCAGGGAGGGTCACTCAGCAGGCAGCAGCCCCCATGGGGCAACGGCTCACTCTGGTAGAACTTATGGACTTCAGTCCTATTCAAGGAACATCGAAAGGGGTTGGAGAACCCCAAAAGATACTTCCTATTTTCTCTGTGGATCCTAAATGGGGTGTACCCCATGTAGAATATGTAGAATCTGGTGAAGTGTGAATAAAAAGAGCGCGTGAGTGCGTCTGTATGTGTCTGTGTAAGAATGCCTCTGGAGGAGAGTGGTTGTGAGTGAGTAAGTAGAGTGGGTCAGTCCCCCAACACTTACCCTTCTCCAGCTTCTGGGCAGGTGAGGACAGTAGGGGTTGGTTGCCACCTGGTGGCCATGAAGGGGAGCACCAGCCACCATCCTCTTCACCCCTTTTCTCACTCTTCACAGCCCCTTCTCATTCCCCACTTCCTCTGCAGCTCAGGCACACACAGGGCTGAACCCAGACCTTTCTTTGAGGCCCCAGCCCACCTGCTCACCTTCCTTACCTTCATCTCCACCCCTGATAGCTCCACAGAGACAAAGACAGACAGAGACCATGCCCTCCTGTCTCCTTTCTTGGAGGAGAATCAGGAAAACATGGTTTATTCCTGACCTAGGCCAATGCCTTAACCCCTCAACCCTAGGTTATTAGCTACAGAATGAGATAACAGGATCCAGTGTCAGAGGCAACCACTCAGTGGGGAGCTGGCTGTGATCCCACCTGGAGGCCAGGTAGGCTCCTTTGGGGTTGTCATGGCCTACATCTGAGTTTGGATCTGTTTCTTCTACCAGGATGGGCAGGTGGGAGAAACAATAGACAAAGGACAGATAAGGGACAAAGCTAAAACCTTATTCCAGTGTCAAGTGTGTACAAGGAAATATTTGTGAATGTCCACTCCATTTGGTGGCAAGAGGAGCTAAATCACATCAAGGGCCTCATGGGATGAAATTGCATCAATGGAGGCCTGGGAGGGGACAGACAGCAGAAGATTCTGGGCTGAGCACCCTGGTGGTGCTTCCCCTGTGCCCCAAGCCTGGTGAAAGAGGGACAGGCACACACATTCAGGGCCGGGGGTTGGGGGGGGGGCGGGTCACAGGGCAGATAAGCACCTGGCTCAGCCCACAGGATGCTGGTGTCAGTGAGACATCATCACAGTCCCTGTCGGCCTTGGGCCGGGAACTGACCTCCACCCAACCTGGGCCCAGTGGTCAGCCTGGGCCATGTGCTGTAAGAGGCCAAGGCAGGGCCTAGGCAAATCTGGGGCCTGGAGCCTCAGACCCCCAAGAGATAGCTACCAGCCTTGAGACCTTTCAGCTCAGAAGATTCCAAGACAAGCAGTGTGGCAGGAGAAGCAGAGAGGCACGTGGTCCTGTTAGGGCACCCCAATGTGAACTGTGTTGCCTGTCAGTGGGTCCTCACTTGTGTGCTTAAGATTCGACTGTACTGTAGACACACACAAAAGGGTCAATAATGGGTTTATTTACAAGGGGAAAAGAAAAGGAACAACCCAGGGAAAGAGAGAGCACGCGTACAAGTTAGCTAATGCGTGCTACCAGTTCTGCTGACTTGGAACCCCAATAGCACGTGGAAAGCTGATCAAGAGCCAAGCGACCAGCCACCAGCCAGCCACGAGGCCAACAGGGGGAGAGAGAGAGAGCCTCAGCCCAACATGTCTGCCTTTACATCCACGACCCCAAAATGGCTGCTTAACTCCGCCCTTGGGCCTTAGCACCCGTGGGTGTTACTGGAAGTTGTCGTTTCGGTGTCTGGAGAAGGGGGTGGAGTCCATAAAACTTGTATCTATAGAGTTCGCTTAGGACACCCTTTCCCCCAACAGTCCAAAAGACAAGGCTGGCCCTGGAGCCTGTGGCTGGAGTCCGTGGCTGGAGCGCGTGGCTGTGGTGGGGTGGCACTGCGCACCTCCCCCAGCCCTCCTTCCTCACGCCACCTGGGAAAGATGCTCTGATGTCCAGCCTGCAGCCACCACTGGTTACTAATGTGGACAAGGAGGGGGTGCAGGCCAGTGAGAGGACAGGAGCGGAGGCCCCAGTCTGGGGCCAGCCCAGTCCAGCTGTATAGGCTCCCATCAGGAGAGCAGGGACTAACCCTGCAGACACAACTCGGGGCTGGGGCTGCTGCAGAGTCACACTCACAGCGCCCCTCTGCAGGGCTCAGACAGACTGGGATATGGGGTTTAGTGCAACACAGGTGGACATCTCTGGCCAGGAAGGGGCTCAAAGACCCAGACTCTGGCTGCACAAGCACTCAGTACAAGTAGGCCTGCAGAGTGTCTCAGGGGAGCTCCAGACTATCTCCTCCAGGCAGCCTCTCAATCTGTTTCTGCCTCTTAGTTCTTCCTTTCCCAGCACAGTCTTCACCAGCCAACAGGTTCTCTCACTGGTCCATACCTAGGTCTCCTCAATAGCTTTCCACATTTAATCCCCCAATATCTGGCCTAGGGGCACCCCAACAGGTCAATGACTCCCTCAGAAGAGGGAAATTCTAAAGGGCATTTGCCTTCCCCAGTCTGTTTCCCCAACCTGCACACAAAGTCTACAAATAGCCCCACGAGGGAAGGTTGGTAGAAAGAAATAGATTTATTCTCATGTACAAAGCGGTCAGCCCACGGGACCATATACAACAGTTGCACAGAGTCCTAGAAAAATGCATCTCTCTAAAGGCAACTCAGAATAGGTAAGGCAGGTGGCCCCCCTCCCCCCACCCCACAGCACATATAGAACAAACCAGAGAAGGGAGAAGCCAGAGTCCAGGTTGACCCAGGAGGCCCAGCCCATTGGGGTCTCCCAAGCCCCGGGGCATGAGGGAATATGGCCTTGAAGAGGAGATAAGCCCTGCTGGGACTGAGGCCGGGTCCCTCTCTGGCTGAAGGAACGGGGGAATGGCTCTGGCTAAGGGGTACTCTCAAGGGGCCACTGGGGGACGCAGGGTCATCTCTCTGCTCTAGGGTGGCAGGGACTTCTCATGGCCTCTCCACAGAGCTATGAGGACTTTGATCTAAAAGGGGTCTTAGAGAATGAATTATCTCATCACCCTCCTGCTTTGCCCAGCAGGGGAAGGGACTTGCCCAGGGTCACACGGCCTAGGGGGTCTTTCCTGCCACTAATCCCACTTTCTTCCTGAGACCCTTCTCCTCAGAGCAATGAGCTGCCTCCTTGTGGATCCCTTGAATCTCCCCAGGTCCCGATCCCCAACTTAAATACAGTGGCAGTCCTCGGGGGCATCTTCGGCCCCGTGGCTGTTGACAGTCCTCCAGCAGAGCTAACGACTGTTTATAAGATCACAGATGATCCACCTCCTTGCATGAGACCCTGGGGAGGGGAAAAGGGCACATATTTGGTGGGGCAGGAAGGAGACCCAGGAGAATTCATTCAGGCTGCCTCAGAGAGGCAATGATTTAAGCAGGATTTGCCAAGGTCAGAGGCCAGAGCAGGGCCCACTGCTTACTGATCACCCTGTGCTCTCAGAGGACATATGAAAAATCTTGGTGAGGGTGAAAGTCTTGTATCCATTATACAGAAGAGAAAGCTGAGGCCCAGGAAGGTCAGTGCTTGCTCAGGGTCACATGGGAAGTCCTGGTCTAGAACCAGGACACATGGCTCTGGTCCTAGTGCTTCTGGCCAGGCCAGTGGAGAGTTGTGGGAGGTGGCCTGGGTAGGGGAGGGTCCCAGGAGGGGCTCACTCAGCATCAAGGCTGCAACACCCATTGATGGGGGTCCCAGTGCCATCCAGTTCAGGCACCTCATACTCCTCGTCCAGGAAGTCCAGCGAGTTGTTGCTCGGGAGGCCGCGGATGGTGAACTTGTGCGACACCTTGGTCCAGTGCTCACGGTTAGAGGCCACGCGTTCATACAGTTCCGAGGCCTTGGGGAACAGGTCCTGCAGCAACCTGTGGGCAGGTGGAGGCAGGGTTAGGGGCTAGAGCTCAGATCTCAAGAAAGATCAGGGCTGTGGCACATATATACCAAACTTCCACAAGAGAGCAGGCATACGACTAGGTCCACAAGGAGACTGTAACCATCTCCTGGAGTGAATCAAGGATGAAACGAAGGGCCCTTTTGGGGGGCAAGGCAGGGGAAGCTGTGCCCAGAAGCAGAGGGTGGGTCAGCTGGAGTTGGACCAGGCCTTGCACAGCACTTGTGACTACTGTGATGACCAGAGCCAGCCCCACCCCACCCCAACCTCTCTGTGAAGAGCCCCTGTCATCCCTGTGAGCTCACTCACTTGTAGATTGGCATTGCAATGTGTTCCATGAAACTGATTTGCAGCTCGGGGATGTAGGCCTTCTCACGGTCCATCATCTCCATTGGCCTGTTGCCCATGGCCTTCTCCTGTGGGCACCAAGTCATCAGCCTGGCCCTCTTCCTCTACCAGGTACCAGGATCAGACTAGCCCGGCCCCTCCCAGCCCCAGGCCAGAAACCCTCTCCCAACCTGGACACCTGAGGTCACTCCCCACATACCAGGTCTCCCTGGGAGAAGAACTCCTTGTAGATCAGCTCCTAAAAAAACCAACACCCTCATCACGTCCTGTAAGTGGCGTCCACCCACACGACCCCTCCCATTCCCCATTCCCAAGAGGGCCTGTCCTCACCACGCCTAGCCTGCTGGGGATGGACCGAGGTAGGCAAGAGTAGTTGGGTCCTGCTCCAACCACTGATTTTGCTCTGATTCCAGCAGAGACCATATCTCTCTCAGAACCTCATCTGTCACCACGAGAGTCTAGCTTTCTCCTTACACAGACAGGCTGAATCCTCACAGAGAGGGTGCTCAGGGAGGGGGCACTTACGGCTATCTTCCTTGTGGTCTTCCAGCCCTTGGTCTGGTCAGAGAGGTCACAGGAGGTCATGAGGAGACAGAGAAGGAGGCTGTGGTGCTGCTTGTTGGTTCGGTCATAGCCCACTGAAAGGGAGAGGATGGAGTCAAGGAGAGGGACCCAACTTTCCAGGCCCCTTTTTCTGAGGGCAAGGCCCTCAGGGTCTACTTCAAAGTGGCCTAGGGGGTTCCACTCCCTGGATGGGAACCATGGGGTGGGTGCTGCATCTGCCTAGTGGGTTGATGCTGGAAGGGGGTGGGCTGAACTCCTGGAGGTGTTCTCCAGGCCAATCCCCCTCATGGTCCTTCCCTAACATCAAGGCCTAGGGCTACAGGTGGGCACCTTCAGCCATCTTCTGGAGGTCTTTGAAGATGCGGAGGTGGTGGGCCAGGTCTGTGGCCAGGATGATGTCCCTCATCAGGTCCAGCATGCGCTGATAGTCCTGGGCCAAGGCAAAGTTGGGGAAGGGGCGGTATCATGGCCTCCGGCCAGACACTCTCTCCCGCTACCACAACCCTGAAAAGCCCCAGCCCCATCCAACCATTGGGACCTTCTGTTGGCAGCCACACACCCCACTCCCAACTTCTCACTCCCCCCCCCATCCCATCACCTTTCGGGAGAAGTGGTCGAAGATGTTGCAACCGTGGGTGTTGAGAATGGCAATGGCCTGTGCGAAGTGATGCCTCTGAGGGGTGAGAGGGAGAGAATGATGGGGGCTTCGTTCATCATGATCCCAAGAGGAGCAGGGTTGACTCAGCCTCACCCCTCAAGATGAGCAGAGCAGCAAAGGCAGGAGTCAGGAGTCCCAACTCCCTTTCTGGGTTCTGATGTGACTGTCTGACCCGGGCAAGTCCCTTCCAGCTCTGAGCCTCCGATTCCTTAGCTGTCACATGGAGGGATGTGACAGGGTATGCTCTGAGAGCCTCTCAAACTGGAGTGATTCTGAAATGATCCCTCAGAGTCCTAGACACTAATTCATGCAGCAAACATTTGTTTGCTGACAGGAAGAGGGGGTGATGAGGCGAGGGCAGAGCTTCTGTCTCTCGACGCTGAAGGGCTGTCACTTGCAGGAGGAGCAGGGTAGCCAGGGTACAGAGGCTAAAGGCAGAGCTCCTGGGAGGGCAGGAGTCCTTCATCTCTGGGGGAATGCTAGGGGAACTGGCCTCTGAAGGGAGGGGGTGTTATGGGGCACAGCATGGGGTGAAATGACCTTGGAAGTCTGGCTGCCACTCTGTGCCAAGCTCTGGGCCGATTGCAGGGAACTCAGAGGTGTCTCCATTTGGTTCCAACCCCAGGGAACCCCCATCTGGGGGCAGGGAAATCCAACCAAATAGCTGAAGGCAAAGCTGAGTGTGATGGGAGTAGAGCCTGCCGTACTCAGAGTGGGTGGGGAATCGTGCTAAATACAAACTCGTTTGCAGACTCAGTTGCTCCTGCAGCAACAACTGCAGCCTGACTTGCACCCCCATCCACACTGATCCCTCCCAGGTGCACCCAGGAAAATGAGCTAGACATGCCTGGGGGTGAACATAGCTTCACAGCCTAGTGGGGAACAGGAGGAGCAGGGAGGACAAGGGTGGGGATGTGGGAGGGAGAGGTACCTCCATGACAGAGCCTTCGGAGCTGTAGAGTGCAGCCAGCACAGATTTCTAGAAAAATCCAGGAAAACCCTGTCATAGATCCAGATCCAAGTGCCCCCCACATGAAGCTAAGCCTTGCCCATCCTTCCCTTCTCCCCCAACTCCCATGCAAACTTTGGGGAAGCAACCTGCTGCCTCTAAACCGGTTCCTAGGATCACCAGCTCCCACTGCTTGTGGGGAGGCAACACTCCCAGACACCCCAGGGAGTGTACCCACTGTGAGGCAGGCAGGGTCTCACCGAGGCCACCTGGAAGGAGTTGTTGGTACCTCTGTGGTCCAAGTCGTGACACATGCAGGAAACAAACAAGGCAAAGATCTCGATGTCCCTGATAGGGAGACAGAGGAGAGAGGTGAGGGATGGCTGGATGACATCCAGGAGCTACCAGGCAGGAGCAGGGGACATTGGGTCCCCTTCCTGGAAGGAAGCCCTGGCGTGAGTCTGGCAGGCTCTGCACTCCTGATTCTGAGGCCCTGAGCAAGTCACCCTGGAAACTGGAGCCACGCAGCCTTCCTTACTGCTGTTAAGAAAGTTCCAGTGCTGCTGGGCCACGTAAATGCCATCCACATGGGGTGTGCTTGAGCCCCAGGGGCTGCCAGATGGGGGGAGGTGCAGCTACTCACTCGAGGTAGTTGGTGAGCTCCAGGTTCTTATAGAGTAGGTAGCAGAAGTGGGAGACGGAAAAGGCGTGCATCCAGTTGTGGTAGGGGGGATCCCGGTAACCCTTCTTCACCATCAAACAGAAGCTGGAGGACAGGAGAGGGGAACAGACAGGTCTTAGGCTCTTCTCCCGCAGGAAACCCTGTAGGCTCTACCCATTCTCCCTTTCCATGTGCCCCCCCCCCCCGTCTGGTAATTGCGTCTCACACACAGATCCTCCCCACCCTCTCAACTCTGGGCCTCAGAGAGACCCCTCCCCCAAACTCTGGGGGCAATGGGGGTGAGATAGCCAAGGGAGGCAGAGACAGAGCTGCCTGCACGCAGAGGTGGGACTGGGGCACATACCGTGCCAGTGTCGGGCAGTCAATTTTGTAGTTGTTGATGAAATTCATGTCCTGCAGCATGCTCAGGATGGCCTGAGGGGGCGGGGGGAGACACAGTCAATTTGAGGAGGGGACCCTTGCCTCGGTCCCTCTTCAAGTCCCACACTCAAAATTTTGGATTAAAGTACAGAGCCATGAAATACTCCAGCATTCTCAGAACCACGAATTTTTTAGAAGTTTGGGGCTGCCAGAAGCCCGTGAGCATCACTAGGTACAGGTCCTGCACCCCCGGACAGGCAGACCTGTGGCCCATGTTGACAGATTGCAAACCCACTTCATTCCCGAGGGAGGCTCTAGAACCTTCTTTGATGTCTCTGTTTTGCCAGGAAGCCCCCCCATGCACATCCTTCTGCTGCAGGTCTCCACGTCCACAGTCAAGTGGGGGACGGCCGGCTCACCATGGAAGTGTCATCCTCGGGGAGAGATCTTGGGGTATAGGTGAAACTGGCAAAGTTGGAGTCAATGGCAGCCACAGGCTGGATCCCATCGTGCAGAAGTTTGGTGTACTCATCATCTGAGACCTAGAGGAGGTCAGCCAGGACATCAGAAGGTGACCTCCACTCCTCCAGGGTACTCAGCTTCAAATTCCCTCTCGTAGAGACAGAGAACACCCTTCATGACACGGCCAAACCATGGCATCCTTTATAGACACTAACTCGAATATTAGTCCTTGGGGGAGAAACACCCCAGGTTCTTGCCTCAACCCCTCCTACTGCAGCTGTGCCCCATCCACAAAATGAGAGACACTTTCATTTTGGACAGTTAAGAGGAAACAGTCGAGTGAACAAGGGCCACAGCACACGCTGAACTAGAGTCAAGGGTGGCTTTTCTGGCAGAGGGTCTGGAACGGAATGAGACATCGGCAGTCACTCAGCCCCTGACCATGGCAGCTACAGTAGCAGGGCAGGGCCCTGAGGGCCTTCCCAACCGTTAGTAATTCCCAAGATAGGAATTATTTCCAGAAGTGGCTGACCAAGTTCTTCCCTAGTCTGGGTCCTGGATCTTTGGGGCTCAGTCAGACACTGCTTGGAAAAAACGCTGCCTCAAAGGGGAGCAGGAAGCTGTTGCTGCTTTGAATCTAACATATTCAGCAGAGAATAATCAGAAAGCCCAACCTTGTGCCACTGAGGATTTGAGGGATCTGGGAAGGGGTGGAGAGGAACAGGAAGACTGTGGGGCCCAGGGGCTCTGAGTGGGGCAGAAGCACTATGCCACCTTACCTTCATGTGGTACATCATCATCTCATTGGCCAGATGGCTGCGATACTGGGCCTCATTCACTTTCTTGTACAGGAGGGACTGGGAGGAGAGAGGGAAATGGGGCACAGCAAAGTGGCTTGAAATCTTAGAATGTTCAGAACTAGGACAAAGGGGGTCAAAAGTATTCCCTTCCTGTCCCATGCTGGCCCGGGTCTGACCCTTTGAGCTCCACCCTGGAGTAGGGCGCCCCTCCAGTTTTCATACGAACTCCCCTTGCTCATTAGAATTTACTCTATGTGGGCCCTCCTGGTGGCATAATGGATTAAAGTGCATCACTATGAAGCTAGCTAGTTGCAGCCACTGCAGCACCAAGTTCGATCCCCAGCCCCGGAGGTGAGCCACATGGCACAGCAGACCTCTCCTGACCCTCCCGCTGCTCCCCTCAGCAGCATTCTTCATCAGTCTGCCTGTTCTGCTCCCCACTCTGTCTGCTGAATCCTCTCACTCCCTGAACCTCTGGCCTGTACCCCAGTTCTATATGCATAAATAAGTAAAATCTTTTTTTTTTAAAAGATTTATTTATTTGTGCATACAGAGCTGGGGTACAGGCCAGAGGGGCAGAGGCGGTGAGAGGCGTCACCAGAGACAGAGTGGGGAACAGAACAGGCAGATTGAGGAATTACACTGCTGAGGGGAGCAGCGGGCGGGTCAGGAGAGGTCTGCTACACCATGTGGTCACCTCCGGGGCAGGCGGGAATAGAACTTATGTGGAAGCGGCTTTAGATTCTCAGTGCTGTGCTTTAACCCGCTGCGCCACCAGGGAGGGCCAGTAAAATCTTTTTTAAAAAAGAATTTGATCTAATGCTAAGAGGACACAGCCCCTCCTGAGCCTCACCCAGTCTTCAGTGATGGAGTCTGAGGGCAGCAGCAGAGAAAGGGAACTAAGGTGGGAGGATCATACTGGGGACCTGGGGGTTCCACTCCTGATCCAACATTTGTCAAAACAAAATTGCCAGGGGCTTGGGTTGAGACTGCTAGTCGGCCCAATTTCCCAAGTTTTATCTGGGAAACCAAGGCTGGAGGTGACCACCGTGTAACATAAGGCTGCATTACAACCTATCATCAGGGCGCTGAGTCCCAAGCGAGGGAACCCACTGTTTGGACAGAACAAGGAGAGCCAGCGCCAGGAGAACAAAGGGCCCCGCACGGGGCCTCTGCCCCTGCTCACATGGGCGATGCTGATGCCACAGTAGATGGAGAAGGCCGTCGCCAGGTCCTCGTCAAACTTGCTGAACCAAGGTCCGTTGATCTTGTTCACCAGCTCTGCCACACCGATGACCTCTAGGGGCCAGAGAGGGCTTAGGCCTGCTGGTGGGTGTGTTCAGCTGGGCACTACCCTCCTGGAGTGTCACAGGGAAGTCCCAACCCCAGGAACTCCGGTGCTGAGGCTGTGGGGAAGCCCCTCCGCTGGGCTCCGCCTCTTCCCTCTGGCACGGTCCTTCTGTCCCAGACCACTGAGGACTCTCACCCTGGTTCTCATTCTTGATGGGGAAGCAGAGGATGTTGCGTGTGCGGAAGCCTGTGCTGTCATCCACGCCACGGTAGAAAAGTGGGTGCGCATAGGCGTCCGGTATGTTCAGGATCTGGCCGGTGGTCGCCACGAGGCCCGCGATGCCCTGGTCCGCTGGGATGCGGATCTCATAGGTCTGCCAGGGCGGGGAGCAGGAAGGAAGAAGTTAGTAGTCTGGGTACACAGGTATCATCGACTGTTCTTGCCTTTGCTCCCAGAGCCCTTTGGGGCCTACTAGCCCCCAAAATAAGGGACACCCCCACCCCTGCACTGCTCAGCCTTACCTCATCATCCACCACACCTCCATCAAACACCTTAGCCACTAACTCGTTCTGATCCAGCAGGAACACAGAGCAGCTGTGGGGAGATTGGCTTGGTTCATAGGGTCCAGATACCTCTCTCTGACCACCCCCCACTTCTCATGATTTGAGGCTAAGCCCAGATTTCTGAAGCCTGGAAGGAGGGATCCATGGCAGCTCTCCTCAGGACTAGCTGAATCCAGACATTAGTTCATCCCAAAGAAGGTTTTTTTTTTTTTTTGTGGTAGCACTTACTATGTGCCAGGCACTGTGTTAGGAACTGAGGACCCATGGCCAGCAAAGCGAGCCCCGCTCTGCTGTCATTGGAGATTAGTCTAGTGAGGGAGGCAGGCATGAAATAGAGAATCACATAAAAGTTGGCGAGTCCCATAAGAAGGCAGGAAAAGGGGGAAGAGGGGAGAGAGGAGGGATGAGAACCGACACACGCAGAGCACTCTTTTGCCCCACCCCTGAGATAAATCCACTCACATCTCTGCATTGCTGAGGTTCCTGGCCTCCGTGATGATCTCCTGGAGCAGGACAGAGACATCATCTGTGGAGGGAGTGGGAGGGGGTAAGGGGAGGCAGTGGTGAGATCAGGCTGATATGCCAAGGTCAAAGCCTCCTACCTCTCCTCCCCAAGACACCAGCTCCACTCCCACCCTACTGCTAGCTGTGGAGGAATTCAGTGCACTCACCCAGGTGGGTGAAGAGGTTCTTTGCCACTTGGAGAAGAGCCTAGAATGGGATAAATGAATATCATAGGGGTTCAGGTTGCAGGGGATCGCCCTCTCCAGTGCAGCCCCGTCCCCACCTCCAAGGTTCTCTAGAAAGGCTGGCGACCAACATAGTTGAAGTATATCACTTAGCTACTAAGTCAAGAAGTAGGAGGAACAGCGTCCCAGTGAAAATGTTTGGAGTGTCTTGAGTTTCAGGTGAATGCTCTATTCTGGCTCTCGCCACCAGAGTTTTATGCAGTACCCATACTGACCGCTAGAGGGAGATCACGCACTGGGCCCGCTGGGTTTGGGAGGGCTCCCGGGCACTAAGTTACCTGCCTGTCTACCTTTCAGAGAGAGATGGACATTCCCTTGTGATTGACTCTCGGAACTGAAAACTGGGGGGACTTGTCCTTGAGAGACAGGCACGAGCGGGTCACTCACCTGGCATTCACGCTTGAGCTTCTGTTCCTTCTGGAAGGCCAGGGTGTTGGTGAGCACAGTGCTAGTGTAGTGGAAGCAGTGCTGGATCACGTGCTCGTCCTGCTCGGTGAACCTGGAGGAGGGGCACAGGGGTCACCCAAGGACCAGCCTACAGTTTCCACTCACCGGGTCTCCTCATTTCCATTGCCCCAGGAAACTACCAGGCCACCACTTTCCTGCATTGGGGCTGCTCACCCACAAGTGGCCGGGGCCCGGGTCCCCCTGAGACTGGGAGCTCCAGAGGGGAAAACCGTAATCTTCCCCGAGAAAAATGTGTTTTTCTCTTCAGGCTATTGCTTTTAAAAGCCAGAGCCATGCTCTGTCTCCAACACACTTCCCCCTCCCGGACTTCAGATTCGACTTCCTGTCATTGTCCTAGTCTGCCCAGACACTTGGGGCCCTAAGTTGGTGCCTCCACAAATCCTAAGGTGGTTGAGGGGAGGGCCACATCCATCTTACTCACAGAGCTACCTCTTGTCTGACAAGATCAACCCCAAATTCTCTTGAGGTCATTCAATAAAGCCACGAAATGACTTATCATCAGGTTGCTTTGTAGGGCTGGATAGATCACACTGGGGGGGACGTCTGGGCTGGGTAACTGAGTGGGCCCTTCAGCCTTTTCCTTGCTTCCAGATTTCCCTGCTTGCGCCCTTCCCTATTTTTTTTTTTTTTTTTAAACTGGCCTCAGTTCTCCTACCTCGTCCTGGCTATCCAGAGACTTAGGTTCCCAATCCCACCATCTTAGTTCTCAGCCCACCTTCCTTATTACAGCATTTGCGGGCCTCAGTCTGGTCCTGTCCACCTTTCTCCCTTCATCTGTGGGCGTCACTCTGCTTCAGTCACACTAGACCTCGTCCTTCTCAGAGGACTTGAACTCTTTCACACTGTCATGCTTTTCCCCACTGTCTGCTCTGCCTAGAATACCTTTCCCACCTTCTTCCTCTATGTCCTGAAAATACATTTCAAGTCTTAAAGGCAGGAACTATGACATATCACCCATAGTGCAGAGCCTGGGATAGGCAGCAACTTGGGAGGTCAAATCTAAATGTCTCAGCTGTGCCCTGTCTGCCCCTGCCACCAGTGCCGTCCCCCTCCCAGCTGAAGTGATTCTGGGTCCCTGTTTTCTGGGTTCTAGGTAGATTCTCTGCAGCCACAGCCGTGGGCTGGGCCCTACCTTGGCTCATGCAATCATTGAGCACTCTCTCTGAACTATGCAGAACCCAGACAGAGCTTTGTTTCCACCCTGGGCCTCTGGGCTGTCACCTACATCCTATCTTGTTTTCCTTCTGATACCACCTCTCTTCCAGGTCCAGGCTATTTCAGAACCCAGTCCCACAACCAACAGCTGTCAGAGCCCTGCCTAGACCCCCACTCTGCCTAGACACTTCCTCTGCACTGTCCTCCTCAAAGGCCTTCCCATGGCCATCTGACTAGCACAGGGCTGGACACAGTTGGTGCTGTTTCTGCCCCAAATTACCAATGACAGAGCTCCCACATACTGCCCCCCACCCCTGCCTCCAAAGGCTCTGTTTTCCCTGGGGTCCTCCAAAACAGCTAGTGGGTCCTACTGCCAGACCTGTCCCTGCCCGATCACTGCCCCACCCCCATCTGGGACCTCTCAAGTCTCCCAACATCTCCAGTCCCCTCTTCCTGTAGGAGCTGTAGGCCCTCAAGCCCAGCCTGTTGCTTGGGCCCAGGGGCCAAACATCATGTCAGTATCTGTTTGCATCCTGGAATTGAGACTCAACCCCTCACTTGTCTGCTCCTCACTGCCCTTATGACTCAGCACAAACTGCTAGGCTACTGGACTAAGTATGGTAGCATTCCTGCCCTGCACCCACACCTAGAGCAGACATGGCCAATCAATCACAGCACTGTTCCTCATTAAACTAAGATCCATTCTCAACACCAGCTACTACCAATGAATGAACTGGTACAGGACATGAAATCTATTTTTTAGACTAGACACTTCTAGTCTCCCAAATATGACCTCAGTTCTTGAGCCATGACTCCTGATAAGCTTCCTTATCTGTGTCCTGCTCACTCTGTTTCACATAATTCTTACAGCTGCCTGTCAGTACCTCTAAAGCCCTTCAGCTTAACCCATCCCCAGACCAGTTTCTTTTAGCCACTGTGTTGATGATGCTCTGTGGGCCCCAGAGAGTTCACCCATCCCAGAGCTCACCACCTTCCATCAGGCAGTTCCCAGCAGCAATGCAAAAACAGGGGGCAAGTGGTGTGGGGGTGGAGTCAGCATCCTAATAGTGGATACTCCAAAGTGCAGAAAGTGGGAAGAAGGGAAAATGGGTTGAAGCTCAACATTACTTTAAGTAAGCCAATATGGGTGATGGAGAGCCAACAATGCTCTCCATCTTACCCATGCTGCAGGATAAAGCTGCGAGGGTTTTTCAACCCCTGGTTGCATCGGCAAACTATTCAGCCCACTAAGACTTGAACAATGCTCCCTGCTTAGCTTCCTTCCCACAGTTACCCCAGTAGATATCCCCCCTCCCCGGCTCTCAGCTCCATCTCTTGATCCATGTCACTCAACCCAGACTCACAAGTCTCCTCCAAGCTTGTTGAAGGCACAGGCCAAGGCCACCACCTGGTCAGTAGCCCGACTTATGACAGGGACACAGAGCATGGCCTGCAGCTCGCAGTCCATCATGCTTTGTAGCTGTTGTACATCCTCCTGCAAAGTGGGGATGGTGAGGGAGAGGTGAGTCAGAACAGGGAAGGAGAAAGAGCACTCACTCCTTCCTCCCCGCACTCTGCAGCAGGTCATTCTAAGGGACCCATCACAGTAGGAAACTCTGTGACCTGGGGGTGGGTTAGTAAGAAGTCCCCAAGTTTTGTCTCCTTCATTCATTGGCTGCCCTGCCCCATAGACCCTGACTCTGGGGGCCGGACAGCAGTTTCCCCTTGTCTGCTCCCCTGTTCCAGCCATGCCACAGCTTACTGAGGTGAGATCCTTCAGCTGGATAGACTTCTTGTCTTCTACCACCTGGCCCAGGCGTCCTGTGGTCAACTGGAGAGTGAAGAGAGGCTGAGTCAGGGCCCAGTTCTCTCCAGGTCAGGGAACCTCAGACTCTCTCTACTAAGTGTGAAAGTTTTGACAACCTCTTTAGTCAGTCCAAATGATGTAGTCAGCACTGAGGAGCAGAGCAGGAGCTGACCAGAATCCCCTATGGAGGACTTGGGGGGAGTCTTTTCTAACCAGGAGAGAGGGAAAGCAGACTCCATAGTTCTGACTGGTTGCAATTGATTCTAAGACAGCTAAACCCAGAAATAATCCACCAGAAGTGAGCTGGCCCATGGAAGCCTTTCTGTAGATTGAAGATTTCTTCTAATGGGTTCTGATCATGGAAGGTTGTGCTCTCTTGTAACATTTCTAAGTAGATCCCAAGATCCAGATAATTTCATCAGATTCCAAGTGATTCTACTTCTTTCAGTCCCTCAGGGCAGATCTAGTTACACTTCACTGGTCTCAGCTGCTTCTGAAGATTGGACAAGGTTGGAACCCCGGCTCACCGGAAAGCTGATCTCTTCCTCCAGGACTTTTTCTCCCATGACCTGAGGAGGAAAGGTTGAAAAGGGCAAGATTTTCCCCCTTAAAGATTGGGTCATTAGCCAAGCCCTCGCATCACCCCACCCAGGACCTGGGCCCTCACCTTACAGGAAAGCTGGAGATTGTCCTCCGACACCAGCAGGAGGCAGCAGCGGGATGCCTGGGTCTCCTGCTGCACCTGAGAGGGACAGAGCCAGGAGCTGATGTGGAGCCAGGAAGGACGCCTTCATTGCCCACCCTCTGGCTTCTCTGAGCCTCCTGGGTTTAGTGGAGGAGACTGGAGGGACCCGCACTTCAAAATCTGACCAGTGAGCGAGGGCTCACCGGACTTATTGCTGGAAGAAGATGGGGCGAGACTCACGTATTGAAGGATTTTGAACTGCAGGCTAGAGGCATCCAGTTCGTAGAGTTCCCCTGCAACGGAGGGACGCCGGTCACAGAAGATCCAGAGCCCCTAACCCCGCAGAGCGCTGGGCTCACTGCCCCCAAGCCCAGCCCAGCCCAGCCTAGCCCACCGCTGTAGGGCCCAGCTCCGCCCCGCCCACCCGCTGAGCCCCGCCCCCTCTTCCACCACAGGCCCCACCCATTTAAGGCCCCGCCTTTCTAGGTTCAACGCTGCCCTGCCCTCTGCACTGCCAGGGCCAGACTCTCACCGCACAATTGCAGGATCTTTCTGTCCTGGTCAGTGTACACAACCCCGCCTTTCTGGTCTCCGGACGCCGCCACTGGAGGATTCTGGACCTCTTCTGGGGCTGCACTGGGCCCGCGCTGCTGCAGGGCCTGCACCCTCCGCAGGGCCACAAGAGTCTGGGGCAAGAGGAAAGGTCGGTGAGCCACTTGGTACCAAGCTCGCCGCCTGGGAATTACTGGCATTTGCTCAGGTCGTGCCCTCTGATTCGGTGCCCATCGCCTCCAGTACAGTCCACTCTCCAGTAGCCCCCACTGCCCTAGAAGGTCCCTTGGTCCATGAGCTTAAGTGCATTTTGTCTCCACCTCTAGCCCCAGACTTTTCTAAGAGGGACTGGGTCAAACTTGTGTTTCCACATTCACAGTCACCAAATCACAAATCTCAGGTAGGAAAAAGCCTCTAGATCCTTATGAAGCTAGTACTTCCTGCTTACTGACAAGGTGTCTGGGCTGATCTTACCACGACCTTATTTTCAAATGTGAAACTAAGGCTCAGAGAGGTTAAGTGACTCGCTCCAGGTCACACAGCCCAAAGGTGGTAGACCCTTGTGCCCAGCCCCCTGTCAGGTCTTCAGAAGCCCCACCTTAGCCCTACCCCACTCACATGCTTCTCCACAGCTTGCAGGCTCCACTCCTCACTGTCATTCAGCTGGCCACAGTGAACCTGGAGGACATGGGGGAAAACCACCTGTGACTTCTAGCTTCTTGTCCTGCCAGAGTGCCTTCCCATACCCAGCACTCAACTCTCCCCGTAACGCATATACACTCCAGTCTGTAGGTCTCAAGGAGAAGCTCATCTATCTGAACAAGCAGATGGCAGCAAGAAAATCCCCTCCTCCAGGAAGACTCCTAGGGCTAATTCAAAGAGGTGAAACTTTTCTGATCTCTGTCTTTTCAGTCACTGTCCCTCAAGCACAATCTGGTGTCTAGTGGGGGAACAGGGTGCCCTTAGATCCTTCTTTACCCCAGCCCATAGAACCCTTCAGGATCTGATTATGGAATCAATGGTATTAGCCTCAACTTTCCAGCTCACATTTTCTGAGCAGGGGTTTGAATTGCCCCTAAGTCTGGGATAAGGGGAAAGGTCTGACCTTTAGGATGCAGCTGCTGTGCTTAAAGAACTTGGATGGATGGATGGATGGATGGATGGATGGATGGATGGATGGATGGATGGATGGATGAAGCACTTTCCCTTCTATGTGATTCTTATCGCCACATAGGGCAAGCTTCTACCATGCAGATGAACTAGGGCCCAGAAAGGTCAAATGATTTGCCCAAAGTCACACAGTGGCAGAGCTGGTAATGCACCACCCTCTTCCTCCCCTTCTCTGTCCACACCTTCTCTCCAGAACCATTTTGCCACCTTACACACCATATCCCCCAACCCCCTGTTCCTCTTCCCTGTATCAATTACCAGGATTCCCCTCAGCTCATCCTCCATACCCTGCGAAGTCCCTTCCCCCACTCTATTTGGGTACTTGAGGAGGATAATGGGAGAGGGAAAGGTGCAATTTGGGACCTACTGCAGACCCTGCCAGCAAGACTCCCCATCAGTTTCCGGAGCCTACTCAGAGCTATATGCCACCTGTGTGGCCCCCCACAAGGCCTGAGCTGGAGTCCTTTTTCATCTCCCCTTCCCACTCAGCAGCCCCTGCCTGCCTCTACTCTAAGTTCCCTGCCAGGAGCAGATGGAGAGGAGGAGACCAGCAGGTTCTCTGGAAGCTCACAGTCTGGTTGTTGTGGGATGGAGTGGGGGGGAGGAGATTAGGGGGTGCAGAATCTCATACCTGAGGAAGAAGGGGAAAGCAGACCAGGTAGGTGGGGACCCAAAGACTGTGGGAAGACAGAGTGGGTGGCATCTGGGGGGGCTTCCATGCACTGTGCATATAAGGGTGGATACTTCCTGGAGAGGGGGCACTGCAGGCAGTCCTGGCCAGGCTGGCTGGTTGGCGGGAGGGTGAGATGAGGACCCAGGCAGGGGTGGGGCATCAGGGTGGTTAGGGCCTTGCGTGCAAGGCTAAGGAATTGGATTTTTGCTTGATAGTAACCTGGGATCCATGGCCGAATTTAGCTCTGTGGACCACAGAGTATAGGGAGAACTGGAAAAAGCAGGAAGCCTGGACAAAGCCTGGACAAAGCCTGGGCCATCAAGGAGCGTGTCGAAGGTTAAGCTCTCAAGAGGCTTTATGAGTTCAGTGGAGTGGGGATCTGAAAGAGGCTGGGAATGGTTCATCTTCATGGGTGTTATATAAATATTTTACAGTCAGTTAGTAGATGGGAGGGACATCCTTTTTGTTCCTCCCACTTGGACCCATCTCTTAGAGAAAAAGAGGGTCTCCTTTGAGGCTATGACTGAAACAAGTTCCTGAGCTGCCAGGGCAGCCTGGTCACAGCACAAAGCAGGGGGGCTGCATGAGAGCCCCAAAAGGCTGGGGCAAAGGAAGGAATCATGGTGTCCTCCACCCACCCAATAGATGCCTGCACCCCAGCACACATGCCAAACTCCTCGGCTCATCCCCACCCAGCATGTGCACAGATACCCCGACACATGCTCAGGAAGACCCTCGGTCTTCTGCTCTCCCAAGGAGATGCATGTGTGCTCACGTGCACACAGACACACACCCGCAGTGTCTACACCAGCCACATGCACATTCATGTGCAGGATACTTGAGCTCACATACATGGGAGCCACACACACCCCTCTGGTCTCCCCGGTGTGCAAACACACACACAAACACACACACGACTTCTGCTCACAACAGGAACACACTCTTGCACCAACCCTGGCTAACCAAGGGCATGTCTGGGGCACAGTGGCAGCATTCACAGGTTGCAAGCCCAGCAAAGCCTCCTCACCCTTCACTGTCACCAAGTTCAACGTGGCTAATTGCACGAACACTCCATCCCCCTGGAAGAAGTTGGTGTGGCTGGCAGAGCTGGGGGGGGGGAGAGTGGGCACAAATCACGCATCAGGTGCCAGAGACCAGCGGCCTCCCACTCCTCAAAGGGACTTATTATCCCAGAACTGTAGCGCCAAAGAGTCTTTTCACACAAAGACTCTGCAATCAGGGCACTTCAAGCTCTGAGCCACAGAGGCCCAGATTCACCCAGGCAGCCCGACTCCATCCAGCCAGTACCTTCCTCAGAGAGCCCGCTTCAGACCAGATCTCCACCAGACCCCAATTCCTGCAGAATGTCCTGGTTTCCTTGCTGGCGCGTGCCATCATTTTCAGCTCTGCCATTATTTTGATCACTTGTTGAATGTCTGTCTGCCTCGCCCCTGCAGACTGGGCAGGGGTGTGTGAAACCTGGGCCTCTCTGGTCTGTCCTGTTGCTGCTGTGTTCCCAGCACCTAGCACAGAGCCTGGCAGTGTTCAACAAAGACATCTTCAATGGATGGGGTGGGGGTGGAAGTTCGGAGGGAGGGAGGGACGAATGCCAGGAGCTGAAACTCAGAGAGGGGAATAGGGCTGGCTGAGGAAGGAGGTGCTACGTCAGTTCTCCCCAGACATCTGCCCTGTGACACCTCCTTTACCCTGCACACTCTGCCCTCGGGATCTGTTAGCAGCTGGGAGGAGGTGCTGGTGTCTGTGCTGCCTCTGGGAGCACTGGGTGGAGCTGTGGAGTGGCATCTGTTAGGTGAACCCGCACTGGGGAGAGGAAGGCAAGGCTTGGAGGAAAGGCCAGACGTGAACAATCCAAATACCTTTCAAGAGCTCTTCACTGTGCAGGTATTTGAGGAGGAGAGGGGACAGTTGTCAGGAACCACTCTTGGCAGCCAAAACCACAGGTACCCCTCGCCTACCTCAACGGGATCACGCTCTTCCCCCAACCTTCCACCACCCTTCTCCCCCACCTCAGCTTTGCGCCCAAATATTCTCTCCCTTCTTTTCTGCCTTTGACTTCCTATACATACGCCCCCAACCCCACTCAAATGGTGTCTCCACTAGGAGGCTGCTCCAGCCCACCCCCCACCCCCCCACCCCCTCCCCGCCAACTTTGCAGCTCCAGCCTCATGTCACAGCACCTGCGGCAGCATCACTTCATTGGAGCTGTAATGGCCCAGGGGCCTCCCTGCCTTCCCCCTGCTGAGCTTCCAGAAGCATAAATGGGTCTCACCCCTCTCTTTCTGCACCTGCCCTGGAACAGAACCCACGGAAGTGTTTGGCTAGGGTGAACTAACTGTAAGTGATCTGCCCCCATACCCCTTGCCCCTACCCCAATCCCATTACAGAGGCCTTTTCTCTTCCAGGAAGGTCTGGACTCCTGGCCCAACCTGAGTCCAGGAACAGTGGTCATGGCAACCATCCTGTCCAAGAGATATATAGCTGTCCAAACATCTTCCTTTGTATGAGCTGCTTCCCTTCCAACTGGTCCTCACAGCTCCAACACAAGGAAGTCCTTCTGGGGAACCTGGCGCCCACACACACACACACACACACACACACACACACACACACACACACACACACACCCCTTTTTCCCTTAACAGAGGTGGGCGGACCAAGCAACCCTCTTTCCCTCCACCCCCCAGCTCACAGCTCACCCCTACACGTGGCCCCTAGCTCTGGTCTTCTTCAAAGCAACTGACTCTGGCACAGATTGGGGCCAAGGGAGGGGGGAGCTATGCTGAGAACTCTGTGCCAATAGCGGATCCTTCCCTGCGTGAACAGAAGCTGGGGGGCGGGAGCAGCTTGTGGGAGAAACCAAGTAGGGGTGCCTCTCCCTCAGTTGGGCAGATGGGATGCAGAGGAGAGCAAGCTAAGTGCCCTTCCTTCCTCTCCTTTCCCCACGGGCCAGCCCCCAGCACCACCCCCACAAAGCTCCCTGGCCAGCACTCCAGAAAGGTCAGGCGCCTCAGAACCTTTAATTCCATTTTAATGAGCTCAGGAGGAGTCCAGGGGCACACCAAGACCCTCTCCTTTATCTGTCTGCACTCTCCCCGCAGTTGGCCTTTTACTGAGGTAGTGGCTGCCTCAGTGGATGCAGATCCCCAATGAGGTGAATTGCAGCCTCTAATCCCTTGGTTTGGTTGTAGGAACAGGACAAATATTTTGAACACCCACCTCCTTATGGAGAAGAAGAGGCACACCCAGACTTGGTTGGTGGGGCAGAAGAGGGGAGGGGGAAGCTCTACCCTGGGTTCCTACCCGACTCCCCCAGGCAGGGAGTTACCCACCCCTGAGCACAGCCCCCAACTACTCCAGAAAGCTTGCCCTGTTGCAGATTCAGCCATTGGGCTGGCTGCTTTCCCAAGTAGCACCTCCTTGTGTACCTTCTGTCCCCAAGCCTTCTTGCTCTAGTCACCCCAATTCTGACAGGCTTTCCCACACTCTATGCCTTCCTATCCTCTCTGGACACTGCCCACAACCCATCCAAGAGGAAGCCAATGAGGGCTCAAGGTCAGGGCCCCTCCCCAAGAATGCCATGGGGAAGGATTATAGATGGGGTTTGAGCACCTCTCAGGCACCAGTGACCCCAAGTCTAGAGTCCTAGAGTCCTCCAGGATCCCCATTTTCCTTCAATGCCAGCCCAGTTTGAATGTCTCTCTCTCTTTTTGTCACTCTTGCTCTCTCCTACACACACACACACACACACACACACACA